GCCTTAGCCAGCCAAAAAGACCACTGGGCATGCGCCAAGTCAAGCCCGAGCCAGGTGGGTGGTACACATGGGCAGCCCAAACTAGGCCCAGGTGGGCTTCATTCAGCCAATGGGGTCAACCAGTTCCTTCGGCCACGCCTCCCAACCACAAGCCTCAACTACCTGGACCACCAGACTGCCCTGTCTTTGTTCTTCAACCTCTGCACGGCCTTGCCTCGGTCTCCCTGGCCTTTGGCCACCACGTGTGGGTGCGCAGTCCCACGAGGTTGCCCGTGTTCAGTGACTGTAAAACTTGAATCTTCTTTCGTCCTTTATAAAAACCCACTGGGATCACAAATCAGGCTTCGGCGTGAATTCTGTCTCTGGGAGAAGCTAAGAACTGAGGTATTTCCCACCCGAGAAATCTAACAAATCCTTTCTACTATTATAACTTTCCTGTAAGTCTGAAGTTATTTCAAAATAAAATGTTTTAAAATTTCATAACCTTTCCACTTAAAGAAAAATTATAGATCTAAAGACTGAATAAAAATTAAAACACTAATTATACAAGCCCCCAATGAAATGATTTTTTAAAAATTAAAACACCACATATCCAAATACTGTTAAAATAGAATGTGGAGGGAAACTTTTACCTTTATGTGCACCAGGAAACTATCCCCCGCTTTAAAAAAAAAAAAAAGTTAAAACAAATGTGCTAAATATTTGACTAAGAAGTTGAGTAAAGAGAAAGTTTTATCCTTGAATACACTCAAGTAAACTAAAAATATTTTTTTAATGATTGAGCATTCAACAAAAAAGTCAAGTCACGAGGAACAGTACCAGCCCAAAAGGAGGAGGAAGGAAATAATAGCAATAAGGAGAGAGGCTGATGAAATGAAGACGTGTAAGCAATATCAGACTAATGAAAACAAAAAACAGCCCTTTGAAAACGTATGTACGGGGGGGCTTCAAAAGTTTGTAGAAAAAGTGCATTCATTTTTACTTCCGTTGTTTTCCGTGAACTTCCCGAAACCCCTTGCACACTCACTACTGCATATCTGCACCTCTGACTCCCCGCACTCAGCCAACCATGATTCTGTGGGGTTTGCTATCTGCAGGAGTCCTGGAACCAAACCCAGAGGATACTGAGGACAATTGTGCATTGTCCAGAAAATAAGAACAAAGTCTGCCCAACTCATAGTAAAGATTGTATTACTAAGGAAAGACAAGAAAATCGCAGGTATAAATATATAGCTATAGCAGCGGTTCTCAACCTGTGGGCAGCGCACGACCCCTTTGGGGGGTCGAACGACCCTTTCACAGGGGTCTCCTGATTCATCACAGTAGGAAAATGACAGTGATGAAGTAGCAACGAAAATAATTTTCTGGTTGGGGGTCAGGTCACCACACCACGAAGAACCGTATCAAAGGGTGATCCAATAAAGTCCATTGCTATTTGCAAATAGGGTTCCCGTGACTGTCCTAACAACAACCTGCAGACATCAAACATCAAAAACTGTTTGGGGATGCCATCGGAATTAATTGCTCAAAGGAAGTTGTCGACAGAAAGAAGGAACAGCCTACAGACTGGAAGAAAACGTTTCAGAGTGACACATCTGATAAGACTGAAGTGCAATATATAAATTTTTCCCAACCATAGATCAACAAGAAGACGACAGCCCAGTCAAATATCAGGCCTGGGCCTTGAACATTTCACCAGAGGATATTCAAAAGACCAGCGAGCAAATGAAAAGAGCCGCAGGATCACTAATCGGATGCAAATCCAAACCACAATAAGCCTTTCTTTCTCCCATTAGAATAGCGGTTTCAAAAGCAACAAACAAGGGAACTATAGGTGTTGGAGAGGATGGAGAGAAAGTGGAACCCTGACCCATGGTTGGCTAGTGGAAATGCCAAATGGTACAGCACGGTTGGAAACAATTTGGCAGTTTCAAAGCTACCACCCCATCCAGCCATCCTTATCCTCCCTAAATAACCCAAAGTAAAACCAGGCATGCAAAGAGAAACCTGTACACCAGGGTTCGCTGCAGCCCTTTTCCCAACCGCCCAAAGAGAGAAACAGCCAAAATGATGATAAGCAGATGAACAGATTAAGGGAAATGTGGTCTAGACATACAACGGACGATCATTGCTGCTCGGTGCTGTCGTGTCAGAATAAACAGAGCTCCGCTCCGTCCTGGGCCATCCTCACGGTCGCTGTTAGGTTTAAATTCATTGTGGCAGTCACTGGGGGATCCGTCTTGCTGAGCGTCTTGTCTTCCTCATCTTCCTCTTCCCGTACTTCACTGAGCCTAATGTCCCTTCCCCGGCTATTACTCAGCCCTCACAAAAAAGGAGGTTCTGCTACATGCAACAACTGGATGAGTCTTGAAAACCAATGCTAAGAAAATTAACTCCGTCACCGAAGGCCAAACCCTATATGATCTCGCTATACGAAATAAGGACTAACGTAGAAACCAAAATTGTTTACTGGTTGCCAGGAGTAGGAGAGGGGGAGCAGGAAGACTAAAGAGGGGCAGTGGTGGGGATTGTTGGGTTTATGTTAAGAGTGGTTGAATCATTAGGAAAAAGATCGTTATAGAATCAATGTCACCGAGTTGTGCGTGTAAAAGCTACCAAATTGTACTAAATTGACGTGTATATTTGCACTACAATAAAACAGTTTTAAACCTCTTCTAATGTAATTGATTGTCATTAGATTAAAAGAGAAAATACGAGGGGGTGGGGGCTTGCAAAAAAACAAAGAAAATACATATACTGTAGGTTAAAATCTGTGGGAAATTGAAGAACGGGAAGCGAGTGTAGGTGGGTGAATTCTTTATTCCCATATTTTAAGAAACCTGGCAGGCTGGGCTTTGGGGGCGGAAGGAGGCCTTCTCCCTTGTGAGTTGGAAATGAGGCCCCATCACATTCTCATGGGTACGATTAATCCCCACAATAGCCTCCCATAATAACGCTCCTTTAAAGTCACCTCTGACTCGCACATGGCTGATTGCATCTGGCCGGCAGCTGCATCCAGAGGATTGCAATTGCGATTGCTATTGCGATTGCTCTCCCTGCTCGGACGGTCATTCTCCCTTACCGGCCCCCCAGCACTAGTGTTAGGTTACCCTGCAATGAACGCAGGGACCCATAGGGTTCAGGGTACCGCCCACTTTGTTGTGTCTGTGGTTACGCGCAATTAGGGGCGCCTTCATGCTCCTAACCCCATGTTGGGAATACATTCTCTCTCTGCTCTGACCTGGTTCCTGAAGCCATGGAGGAGGCGAGCACCCCAAAACTCCTGTCTGTCTCTTAATTTCTTCCCTTCGATTACCCAACCCTCCCTTAGGACCCATGCGGATCTGAGGCTGGATGTCACAAAAATCCATTCCATCCTGTTCTGACACCACGCTGAATTAGGTCCTATTTCACAGATAAAGGTCACAGTCTTACCAAGACTTTGAGCCAGCCACACACGCAGGGGCTGCCAGGCCACCCACACTTCAAACAACTGGTGATAGATGTGTAGGTTCCCACTCCCCCCTCCAGAGCCCTCATGGCACAATGGTTACTTGTTGGGCTGCAAGTCAGTGGGTCACCCGTTCAAAACCACCAGCCACTCGTCAGGAGAAAGATGGGGCTTTCTGCTCCTGCAAAGAATGATCAAGTCTCAGAAGTCACAGGGGAGGGCAGTTCTACCTGTGTGACAGGCACACGGTGAGTCAGCGTCTGCCTGCTGGCAGGGCGTTTGTTACTACCTCCTCAAAACAGCAGCTGCAAACTGAAAGTTCCTCATACCACCCATACTTCTGACCTGCTGACTGAAAACCCCAGGGTTCCCATGATCCCCTGAGGCTCAGTAACTCACAGAACTGAGTCACCGAACTCAGGAAACCGCTGTGCCTACGGTTACAGTTTTATGATGCCGATCCGCACCAGCCTGCAGCAGAGAAGCAGAGGGCAAGGTCTGGGAGAGCACCCACTCACTGTGGGGTTTCTGTGTCCCTGTCCCCTCCCCATGTCTCCATGTTTATCACCAACCAGGATACCACGACGGCATCGATCAGCATCAACTCGACGCCTGGCCTGGAGTTTAGTGCTTGGTTCCCTTAATTCTAAAAAAAGAATCCCCCAACCCCACTTTCTGTGTCCAGTAGGTGTCACCTTCCGCCAGAAAACAACCAGCTCGCATCCACCAGAGTCTGGACATTGATGAAAATCTATCCCCCAATGCTGAGCGGCCGGTGCTGGGGGATAGGGTTTTGCTCTGCGATCGAAGGAAATCGAGAGTGGCCTTAAAGAGAGATGTGCTTACCAGCATGAAGGTCCTCAGACGACAGTCATTCACAGACTTTCAGCTCAGGGGGACAAATTGCCTAACCCCTTCAATGCTTGGCTTCTTCAGATGTGATATGAGGGTGATTTATCATTCCCATGAGGTTCTTGTGAGCAGTGGACAAGATATAAACACAAAGCACTTAGCCGGATGCCTCGCACATGATAGGCACTTGAGCGATGTTCCCTTCTCTGTTCAGGGTATGGGATGATTTGACCAGAATTCCCATCTGAAATTGGGCTCTACCCGCTGAATCCTGTCTATCTGAAGGCCTGCCTGCGGCTTGCGATGAGGATCAAATTAAATAATGCACACAACACAAAGCAACTAGAACAATGCCTGTCCCAGAAAGCTCAATCACAGACAATAGCTAACATTACTATCACAGGCTTGCTACGTGCCAGGCACTCTCCTACCAGTTTAATAATAGAACTCAATTAATCCTCATTAAGACACATGTAAAATTAATAACAGCATAAACTGTTAATCCACCTCCTCTCCCTTACTGTGACTCCATCCCACCATAGTTTAATTTCCTCTTCTGTGTGATAAACCGGAAAGTGTCCCCAGATTCTGTGGTATCTGGGTAGGGAGAGAAAAGGAATGCCTGGCTTAAGTAGGAGAGACTCATCCCAACCCCTAGCTCTGCCCATATTCCCAGGCTCCAAGAAAGAAACAGGGGTAACAGCATTCCCATTGGGATTTATTTCTTAGAGATGGCCACCAGCAACTCAGTATCCTCTGAGCCCCGCCTTCCCCCCCAAGGAGCCCTTTAACCCCCTTTGCCAGGTTACATTCACCCCAGGAATATAGCTTTGGGCAGTAATTTGGACATAGCCTATTCCCAGAAATGAAGTCCCATGCTATAAAGATTTACATGAACAAGAAACCATAGGATCCACGAAGAGGGTTTCCAGGAAGAACCTCAAATGGAGATGTAGGATTTTCTCCTCTAGGAAATGTGTCGACCTTCGGAAGAAATAAAAATGAGATAATGAGGCTTAAACCCCCTTTGACCCCATTGCTTGTCGCTGTGACCCTCCGTGCCAGAGCCCATATTAATGTTGAAAATTCTGGGTCACCCAGAATTCACACAAGGATCCACCTTCAATCCCCTCCCCATAAACGCTCACTGGGGAGCAGAAGAGGGAACAGGCTTTCTGCTTTCCTGCACCTATTCCCAGTGACGGAAATTGAAGCCGTGCCCCCAGCTGCATCAGCCTGGAGGGTCCCGGCCGCCACCATCAATGCCCTTCATGGAACCCAGCAGTGACTCCTTCTAACCCTCCCCCCACCCCCACCACTTTCACAAAGGCCCAGAAGACAAGCACACCAACAGAGGTGTTACCTTCAGGATAATTGGCCCCGGGCAGGTAAGTGTAACCTAAGAGAAGAAGATAACTTGATTAGAGGAGGGTCTCTGTGGGAAATGGTTCTGATATGATAAAATAATAATAATTTATAAATTATCAAGAGGGAGGGGGGAGGGGGAGCAGAGACAGAGGAGAGAAAATGAGGAGCTGATCCCAAGGGCTCAAGTAGAAAACAAATGTTTTCAGAATGATGATGGCAACCTGTGTACTAATGGGCTGGACACAAATGATGTATGTACGGATTGTGAAGAGTTGTATGAGCCCCTAATAAAATGTTTTTTTTTTTTAAAGAAAGAAAACGGATCTGACATGATTCACGATGAGTGGGATCCAAATCGGAGCCCTTTCACGGGCAGAAAGCAAGCGGAGAGGGGGAGCCGGCGTGTGGGTAGCAAGGTCAGGGGAGTCACTCACCTGAGGAGCCAGCTCTCCGCCAACTCAGCAAACCAAGAATGCAGATGACCAGGCCCAGGCCCAGGGTCACCGAAGACACGGACACCTTCACTATCTGCTCGGGGGACAGTCCGGGCGCTGCAGAGAGGATCTGAGCTAGAACCCGTCCCTGTTGCTCAGCCCAGAGCAACTTACTGTGACCTTCACCCCAGATCCAATGGACCTTTATCCCCGCCCCCAGGGTCTTCATCACAAGGACCTCCTCCCCCATCCTGTGAACCCCGATGCCAGTGGCACCTAAGACACCCCTTCCCTAGAGTTAGTACCTCGGCTGCCAGTTCCTCTCTAGCACATCCAGTGAGGTCTCATATGGGACCCCCTTTCCTTCCTTTGCGGCAAGGTTGCCTCCATCTGAGCAGTTTCCTATTAAAATATCTTCTCTACTTTTTCTAAACCTCCCTGTCCCGCCCAAAAAAAGTTCCACCCTGTGACTGGGTCTCCTACCTGTCCACATCCAGATTTTCCATGAGTCTGTCCAGGGCCTGGTTCTATCCCGCCGCATAGTGCCCGACGTCCTAGAGCCTGTTCTACACTGAGTCTCGTCCCTGCAGGATTCCTGTCCCCTGCTAAAATGAGCATGCCGCTCCCTAAGAAAAAGTCCTTGTGTACCCTTTAAAGGAGACGTTCCCCAGAAGAGCTTGGGTGAAAACATGAGGTCCCCGCTCCGTTCCCCATGCCCTTCCTAGCTGCCCAGCAAGGCAGAACGTTCCCCAGAAAGCGATGGCTGACCTCCCAGCAGTCTGGCATCCTGTTCCCTGATTCTTTAGAAGCGTCCTTCCTGATTTTCTTTCCTTCCTCTTTTCTTTCCCGAGACCCCCCAGATCTGGGTGTAATTTCTCTGAGCATCTTTATCCTCAACCCGGGGGTTCAAACAATGGTAATCGGCTCCCTCTTCACTAGCCCCCAAACATGTCCCCCACACTCATGGCCTTCTCCTACTCCACTTCCCTAACAGAGCAGCCACCGTTCAGCCCTGCCCCTCCCCACCCCAAGGGAAACACGCCTACAACAATTGCCTCACAATTGTTAGTTCTGTAAAATACAGTTACCAAACCTACGGGCTCTTTTCAGCAGCAGCATGATCTCTTCCTAGATCCCCAAACACGCCCACCGCATCGATCACACCCCAATACCGACAATAATAATAGCGGATCCTGTTCCTTCAATCCCGTTGCCCCAACTCTGGTCCTAAGTGCTCCCCAAGGTCCCCTTGATTCCCTCCCACTCTCAGCATCTCCTCCTCGACTGTATCCGTGCAACTATCCCCACCTGCCCCCACCGTGACATTGGGGTTCCTTTTTCCGCTCCCCACTTCCACTAATGCTCCTGACCGTCAGACACTCACTCCAGTCTTCCAGGATGAGGAGAGACGCTCCAACGTGCTCCACCACACAAGTGTAGGTGTCCCCATAAGAGGGGGTCAACGCTAAGTGGGAGACGGTCTGGTAGGTCCAGTCTCCATTGGGCTGGGCAATCTTCTGGCCGTTGCCGTGAGGGAGGACAGGCTGCCCGTTCTTCTGCCACGTGATGATCACCTCGGCCGGGTAGAAGCCCCACACGTAGCAGGCCAGCATCGCAGACTCCCTTGTGTTAAAAGGAGCGATGGGAGCTACTTTCACAGACGGCGGCCCTGGGTCAGATGAAACAGCCTGGTTAGCAGGGCGGCCTTCTAGCCTTTTCTCCAGCTTAGTCTCTTTCCTCTTCAGCTCCTCATAGCTCTTGGCGAACCTACCCACCCGGTGCCAGCATCCATTCCCTGGAAATTGGGAAGTCGGTATTTGCGCCGGTTTTTTCCCTCTCGCTTTCCCCCCGCTCCTTCACGGAACCATCCTTCCTTTCTTCCTCCAGAAACTTTGTGTGGTCCCAGTGAGGAGAAGCCGGGGTGCACGGCGAGCCATTTCAGGAGAAAGCACCTCAGCTCATAGCAGCGCAGACATTGTAAGTTTGGGTTTCTAAAGGGGCGGGGATTTTTTGTCGCTGAAATCTTTCTTAAATGAATTTGCTTACATAAAACCTCTTCTCCACAGATAGCTAACACACACGAGCCTAACTTAGGACTAGCTCTCTTAAATGTAGTGAAGGGGTGGGTCTGGGCGAGGCATCAACGGTTACACATTCGACTTCCCAACCAAAAGATGGGCGGCTCAAGCCCACCCAGAGGTGTTTAGGGAGGCGGCCTGATTTGCCTGGAAAAGCGGAGGGAACCGTTCAGCTTTCCACACATGGGGGCAAAGGCTAGTACTGTACTGCTATTTTGTTTTTATTCTGCTCCGTGACACGCCCTGCTGGCCTCGGCACTGGTGCCTTTGAAATAAAATCTTCACATCGCAACAAATTGCGCTCCCATGCAGACAGTCTTCATCGGTCGCTGTTCGCATGCAGTGCATCCGGACTAATTTCCAGGGACTTGCCTTTTTAAGCACTACCTCTCCCAGGCAACTTGGAGATTCGGAAACCACAGCTGAGGACACAATACTCTGTCTGCCCCAAGGAGCTCTCCAAGGATTCTCCTAGGAACCTCACCGGGTTCGCAACACGAGGGAGCAGGGGAGAGGGGGAACAGGAGAGTCCTCTGGGGACCCTCTCCAAATATTCTTGTGCCTAGATGCACCCTAGACTGAAACCTCAGAATTGATGGAAAGAGGCCCGAGCCCTTTGGGGAAGAGCCGTTCTGGTTACGCTGATGCATCTGTATTGGGACTTGGATCTGCATCCTGATCGATGCTTAGCCACCCCCCAGTGCTCCTCGCCAGCTCAAACAGGATGTCTGCTTCTTAAGTTCCACCCCCATCCCCTTGCAGAGGGGTCTCGGGGAGGAGATGAGCCAGTCAGGGTGCCATGTAACAACGATGAGAAATACAACTTTCCTCTAGTTCCTAAATGTTTCCTCCCCGCTCCCACTATCATGACACGAATTCGACCTTGCA